TGTTGACCAGCAGGATCAAGAAAGTTCCAATGTTAATCTCCATGCGAAGCCGTGAAAAACCTGGAACTTGTACACTACCTGTCGAGTGAAGGCTTCCGACAGACCACGACCTGCGCCTCGTTCTGGGAGAAGTTGCAGCCTCCCGAAAAGCTTTGAAGGCAAAGGGCACGCTAAGTCCACTAGGCGTATAATATTGATAGGCCTATCACCAAAGAACACCTGCCTTTGACAAAGCTTAAGCGTCTTTCCCAGTGGAAAACGCTCGGGACGCAAGACTCAACATGCTGACCAGTACTATCGCCAACACCGACACACCAACAAATGGCCGCGCTGATCATCAAATAGCACCAATTGATCAGATCAACTGTTTCACCCACAGTATGCGGCTTTTTCCCTGTTCGGGGTTCCTCTCAATGGGATAAATTCCTACTGGTAGCAGAAATATCTTACTTCAACTCATTGCAAAGCAATTTCACATTGATTTTGACACAGCAATTACTCTTAAGAGGCGCGGGCTCGTACACTTCCTAACTGTAGCTGTTTATTAGGGCCTACTTCGAGCGTTTCCGCCCGTTTCGTCCCGTTTTTGCTTCTCTCTCTCATACTACTAGATGCCTCTGCTTCCATTTTCTGCAGCAAACCATGTTATCGTACCTACTGCCTTCTAAGGTAACGAATAGTTGTATAGAGCGATGTACGTGAAACGAAAAACAATACAGAGTTTTTTCTGGACCCCATGCGGTTCCTTAAAGACACATAGTACGCTCACACACATTGAGGGTGTATGAGACTATCAGCCCCCAGCTGTCGATGTGTCGTGGTCCCCCCGCCCAAACATGCCCAGGAATGGAGATACAGGACCGTGAAACACGCTAATTCCTCCATGCTCCGCCTGGAGGTGCTGCAAAATAAGAACAGAAGATGATGACGAGGGTCAGAACTTAAAAGCAACTGTGCCACTTCTGCAACATCCCTCGGAGGCCGCGTATTTCCACGAAACATGAAAATAAAACGGCATACTCGTTAGTTTGATACAAGCAAAACGCAATTTCCTGATGCGAATAAAATTTTAGGTGTTGCTCATGCTTCAAAATCCATGTACAAGGAGATGAAGATGACACAGGCTAGAAATGAAGCACAACGATGTAAATGTAAATAAAACAAAAATGAAAAAATCAAGGAAAGGCAAATTAGTTAAAATCGCCTGTAAATTTCTACGATCCGGCGCGAATCCGGCGCCAAAGCCATAGAAATACTTAGAATAAACGAGTGGGACGCTTGGATTGTTTTTATTCTCATGTTTTCTGGGAATGCGCGGCCTCTGATGGATTCTGCGGATGCAGCCGAGTTGCTCTTGAGTTCTGGCCCTTGTCATCATCTTCTGTTCTTATTTTGTAGCACCTCCAATGTTATCCGCATCAGGAAATTGCGTTTTACTCGTATTTGAGAGCGCAATTAAAGGACTTGGCAAAGTGCCAAGGAGCCGCACGCGACACGCGCGCTTGCAACGGATGTTATGAAGGACGGGAATCTGCGCCGCAAAAGGTGTAAGGCGGAGCATGGAGGAATTAGCGTGTTTCACGGTCCTGTATCTCCATTCCTGGGCATGTTTGGGCGGGGGACACATCGACAGCTGGGGGGCTGATAGTCTCATACACCCTCAATGTGTTTGAGCGTACCATGTGTCTTTAAAGTAACTAGAAACGGTCCCTCATTCGGGATCCTCAACGTACGACGTGCCCTTCAGTTCAGAGTCAAAGATCAGTGATGGGGCGAAGAGCATTCCCAATATTGGGAGGCTAGATGATACCAGAGAATACCCTCTTAAGGAAAAACAGACCCAGGTCAGAGCTTCCAGCACCGAATGATCGATGGCAGTATTTTCGCTCTCATTTTTCGATTGCGTGAGCAACTTCATGCACGATTTGCAGTCAATTTGGAAAGGAGACCTTCGCTGGTGCTTGATGGATATATCTTAAAATAAAAGGAAAGTCGGATGTTCGTAGCCGAAGTCAGCATGCACGTCAATATTTCATGCCACCATAATACTCCCTCGAACATCACTACTATTTTTTAAGCATTATTGGAATATTTCTGGTTTGTACAAACTTTGCGCTTAAGTGAGACCTTTCGTAAGCGTAATTGATAGAATGACTATCATGGCTCTTAGGAGCGGCAGTCATAAACTTTTATAGAAAGCCCAAAGCAGTGCCACATAACTCGCAACTTCGAGCTCCTAACATAGTTTGACTGACTGAGAGACCCTTGAGCTAAAACTTGTTTCAAGTGGATATACTCACGAGCTGAAGCTCTGCCGAAAGTCGAGATGGTGAAAGGCTGGCAGGGGAGGACAAGTTCCGCAGTCATGATGGAGCTATCTTCACCATCTCCAGCACCACTATGTTCATAACGTGTAAGGACGACAGCAGCAGGTAACTGCCCTACGGAGCGATCCTCAATACTCGCTGCACTGCAGGACGCGAACTCCTTTGTATTGTGTTTTTAGGCAATATTCATTCTTCAGTACCCACTCTACGAAATAATGGCCATATTTTCATCAGAGTTTTTCCTCTTTGTCGATTTTGCTAGAACGTTGCCCTCGGGAGTACCTTGACTTCTTCAACATAAATCCATGCCCGCTTGGCTCAAAACCTCCCGTTGTCTGCGCTACAGCCCTTACTCTAGTTTGGAGAAGACCTGGTACTGACGCCAGAGAAGTTACATGTGGCGCATGTGCCCGTAACACAGATAGCAGGCGCATTCGCCTAAATGCCGTGAAATTCGTGTTCACTGGTGGAAGTACTGGGAGACAATGTTCTGCCAAACCTGCTTCCGAAGAAATTTCTCGGTAAGGCATATAACTCGAATTTGTAGTAGATGTATAGTGTCGTACTTCACTCTCTTCGGTTTACGTGAAAATTTGTTATTTTGACTGCATGTTGAAGAAATGTAATGAATGTTGCCCTATTTTCAGATCGTAGCAATTGCTTTCCCATCGGGTGCTATCGCTGGGCTAAACATTTACCCAGGCGTTTATGCCGTGGTAGGTAAGTCCTTATGCTGTGACTATAGGCTTAAAAAATAAAATTAAAGCAATTGATTCGAGGTGCTGCAAGTTTCTCGGCGTCAGTCACTCATACCGTATCTGTAGCTGTGATGATTTTCGAGATTACGGGACAATTGCACTACATTCTACCAGTCGTGGTAAGATTTGCTGGTAATCGATTCATTTCGTATTGTCTTACAGAATGTGATGATACAGTGACACGAGTGATCTCAAGTTATTGAGATCTGAAGGCAAGCAGAAACGTTTCTGGACTGCAGGACGTATACTTGTAGTCACAGAACTGTTCATGTTCTGTATGTATTAGGTTGTCCGGAAAGTTCTCAGCGTTTTGTGTTACTATTTTTTGTACATTCATTGCTGATTAAAAACTCATTCTCCCTTGCGTCTCAGTAGTACATCCTGAAGAGAATTTTTGCGCTATCTGGTATAATTGCCGTTTCACCATTGCTTGATAAACCCACTTTTCCCAAGACTTTTTTGAAGCATGCTTGGAAAGCATGTCAAAGAGTAACTTCGTACGATATATTTCTTCTACATTGCTGAGTCAATCGCAAGTCGAGACAATTCGACAACTAAACAGTATGGGCCCAATATCGTGTTGAGAAAGCAACGTGAAAGGGGTTTCAACCAAAGTTCGTCTGGAGCTTTCCAACCTGAGAAGATGAAACCCCTAGCAGGTTCGACTGATGCAATAACACTCAAAAGGCCTGAAACTTTCCGGACAACCTAATACGAAATAGGACATGGATGCGCGCTCTAAACGCATCCCTTCTGACTGGCTGTGATATCTAATACATATCTCCGGTGAAATTGTCGCGCTCGTTTGCGCCTGCGCCTGCCCGTTTGCTGTTCGTGATATGCTTATAATGTTTAGTGAATGTCCCTATCCCGAAGACTGTGATGGCTCCCCAACGGAAGTCGCCCAATGTAGGTCTTGCTGGTCGCAACATCTACCCGGGCTTTTTCATTTCCAAGCACAGTTTTTGAGCAGTTGAATAAATACAAGTGGAATAATTAACATACGCAAATATGAATATTGAAACGGATAGCAAAGCCTTAACAGTCTCATTTCTGAGCAGTGATGATAAATTAACGCCCTTGAAATTGCCTTGAGTTTTGAGTTTCGGGGAACTATGCTGGCAACAACTGTCGACCCCACTGCACGGTAAGGAAAGTGAGTCAGTGATACCTGCTGCCTTTCTCTAGTTCAGGGCGATGGAAGAAGATGCACCCCAACAGGGCCGAAACAGTCCAGCAGTTGCTAGGTTGTTTGTCGTAGATTCACCATTGTGCGTAGCATTCTAGACACATAAAGGTATAGAAATGTAGGCAAAAATTTCTTCAGAAGCGCTAC